CAGGATTCTTAATATGAGAAACATAAAATCCCAAACCTCCAAATCTGTTCCACAAATGCAGACACTGCTGATACAAGGAATTCTGGCTGCCTCCATTCTGTGCCTTAGTTGAATATTGCTACATGAAATACTACATAATCTACTACAACTGTGTCTCTGTTTATTAGGAAAGACTGTGTGTTCTGATCGTTAGTGATTATACTTCATAGGTACAGATGAATCAGATCAGTTATTCCTTCTAATGAATTGCTGTTTCCACACCATTTAATAGCTTAATCCTTCTCTTCTAGTTTTGAGTTTTTGGTTTTTGGGATTTTTTTTTGTTTGTTTATTTTTTTATGAAGCTGAATTAATACTTACCTGGGTGATGATAATGGAATTTTACAAATCTGTTCATTTTGCTTATGGTTGAAGGTTTTGAAACAAAACATGCAGGATGAGCAGAGCTGAGATTTGCAAGTGTGAAGACAAGCAGCCAAGCCATAGCTCACGCTTTCATGTGATATGTATTGTCAGTGCAGTGGGCAGTGTATACCATTTACCGGTATTTGGGCCAGAAATACCTGTTCATATCAGCAAATGATGTGGGATTACTGGGTTATAAAATCTGTAAAACAATTTAGCTGAGTTGGTCATTTTCCTGCTTCCCAGTAGAGGCTCAAGAACTTCCCAAACACTTACCTGACATAGGCCTGACATTCCAAACTCTTTTTTTTCTTTAAGTTAAGTCCTACTTAAGAAAACAGGTATTTCACTGAGTACAGCTCCTCATTCTCTTCCTTTGCCTCCCCTGAGACTGTTTCACTCACTGCCTTTTTTCACGTGTTTCCTGGCTGCTGCCATCTATTTCTTGTACCTGCTGCACCTATGAGCTTAAAGAGCACTGGCATTAAAGGTGAGCAGGAAGATTCTGTCTGGAACTAGTAAACATCCATTGCAGTACAAGGCCAATGCGGAAGTACCTCTGAGCTGTCCCACTATGGAGCCAACCCAGATCAAGGGGAGCTTACTCCATGGGCTTCACATTCCTATAGCAAGTTCAAGAGAGATACATCTCAACAGCTGGAAACCACTGACAGACACCCAGTCTGACCCTTGACTGAATTCCTACCAGCCCTCAGGTTTCTTGATGGAGACTGTGGCCTGGGACCCAATTGATTCTGATGAAAACCAGGCAGCATCTGTCAGAGCAGTTGACAGGTAGGTTGTCTGAACAATAGCAGATGATGTGGATACCTTTGGGTTCAGCCTACCAAGCTTTTGGTAAGAGGAGGAATGTTTATTTTGTTCTTTATGTCCACCAGTGAAATTCCTTTTACGGTTTTATTTCATTTCCTCAGAATCACTCTTTTAAAATAGGTATCTCAAGATGATGTCTCTTTTATAAAACATACTCTTTATGTCATGAATATCTGGGGGAAAGGACACTCAGCACTTAGAGTATTTATGAGTCAAACATTTCTAATAACCTTGAGACAATTTTTATTCTTGTATTAAAAAAATGAGATTCTTAAACAAACTGATAAACACCTATGTTCTGTAATAATAAAATTACTATAAAAGGAGAGTTGACATGTCTTATTACAAACTGCTTCAGAGTTACAAGAGAAATTCAGTCCACTGCAGTGGATTTAGCTCATCTTTGCTTTTGGTTTGTAGTTTGTCTTTACAACCTTCTCCCTTTGTTTCAAGTTTCCTTGACAGGTTCCTGAACTAGAATCTGACAAGAAAGGTCAGAGATAACTGGAAACATGTTCTTGATAACACAAACACAGCCATTCTCCTCTGTCAACAATTATAAAACAGTGTGGTTTAATGTTTTAGAAGAAAAATGCTGTACCTTTAGCAGTAGGGGGGACAACTGTAAAACCTTACAAAGCATGTGTCTCCTAATCATAAACAGAAAAGAAAAATGAAATTTTAGATTATATTTACTCATGATAAAAAACATGCTCTGTGATACACCCACTCATCTTACTTCTGGGGACAAGGCTTGTAGGTAGTCTTGGGACTGGAAACTGGGAAGTACAAGAGGAGCCAGGTGAGCCAGAACCCACCAAAGATACCCTCTCTGCCTACCAGAGAGGTGTTGCAGAGCAGCCAAGGAAGAGCACACAGAGCTGTGCTTTCACTAGGTTCTCCCTATAGATGAAGACTGGAGAGTGTTGCACATGCAGCTACAGGGATGGAAAACATAAACCTGTTCTAAAGGCATTCAGGAGTCACCCCTTTACGTTAGAGCTTCAGATGTAAATAATAAAAGTTTTAGCCTTAGTGGCTCCTAAGAAAAACATGGGAATATGACCTGGCAATATTAAATACATGGGTGTCTCCTTGAAACAGCAATTTACCTGAAGCTCAGTCATATTCCCAGATGGGTGTTTAACGGATGTACCACCCTGCAGACAGCATCTCCTGCTAGCTTATGGCACAAAACAAGTCAGAGGAGAGCAGCAGGCTCAGGCCTGGCATTGGTTGGATGTACCTTCGTTTCAACTGCTGGCAACTTCTATAGGCATCTTCTGCTTCAGGTAGAAGCAAGGATGAATCTTCTGATGGAGGCAGAAAATTCTTTGCTGCTATTCTGCCTCTCTGGTGGAGTAGTATCGTCTCATTTCACGTGTTCCAGGCCAGGAATAAGGGTATAGGGGAGGGGGAGGTAGTTGTAGGTGGCAGAAGCAGAGCTGTGCTTACAGCCGTAGACTGACTGTTTCCAAGAATGTTCTTCAAATATGTAATTTATGGTTCCTATCCATCAGGATTAGTATTGCTTTTCATCTGGAATTATATTTTTTGGTACTTCAGTGCTTGTGGAATATTTTCCACTGTTACACTGAATTTGTTCTATTGCATTAAAACAAATATCAAGCATGACAGATGTTAACTATTTATTTTGGACATCTAGTAATTGTAGCTTTTCCTACCCTCAGAAAATAATGTTTTATAGCAGGACATAGAGGTTTCTGGACTAAATGCTAAGAGCCAGTCTGGATAACATAGACACTAAGCCTTCTGAAACCACGAGGGAAATAAAAAGCTCCTGCATTCTTCTGATCTGTTGGCAGTTTCATCCATGCCAGCTAAACCTGGAATTAAGGCTAAAAACCATCCATGGATACTTAGTTTTGATTTGGGCTCTGCAAAATGCTTGCAGAACAAAGAAGACAATGGAGTTAATGACAACCCCTAACAGGATGCATGTTGAACGACAAAGATATCAAACCCAGCTCACTATGGAAACTGAAATAATTGGCTTGTGAAGCTTCCTGAGAAACATATGAAGCAAACATTTACAAAGGTTATTGAATATCTTTAGTTTCATCCTAGCTAGTCTCAAATTAGCAAGCCCGTAAGATAACTTAAGTCAGAAAGTTAAGAGCATTAAATGAAAAATACTGTAGAAAGTGCGTATTAAGAAGAAAAGGAAACATTTATCACTGGTAGGGCTTTATACCTGATACTAAAATGTACTAAGATGCAGATGGACACCTATTATTACGTACAAGCAATGCCTTTGCATGTTCATATTACACGTAAGCAAAAACTATCAAACCTGTCCCTGGCAGACAGAAGAGGAAGCAATACAAGGACTTCTCTGAGGCATGTCACCACAGGCAGACCTGTTCTCTGCAGCATTCACTCACGACAAGCTGCCACCACCCAGCATTACCTTCCTCCCAAGTGATCAGCAAGATGCTTTTGCAGGCAAGTAAACACAGTGGTCTGGGAGGCTGGGAAAGGCTCTGCTCTGAGCAGCCTCCTTCGAGGCTCACGTGGAGGCAGACAGTAAGTGCTGGAACTGATGGTCACTGTCTCCTCTCATGCAAGATCAAGGGTGGCTGCTGCTGGAGCTACCAGGCCCCTTCAACATGTGGCAGGAAGATGCTTCTTAAAAATGGTGATAGACCTGTAGTACTTGGTGCCAAAGGCAGGAGTTGATGCAAAGTCACAGAGGTCAGGGAAACTAACGGTAGAGCAATCTACCAATGGAGGGTAAAAAGACAGGGGGACACCAACACCAAAGCATTCAGCTGAGGATGTCATCTGGTTGTAAGCTGGGAGAATATCCAGGAAAATTTTATATATGCCTGTGGAGTTCTCCCTTGTTTCCTTGGTACCCACTCACGGTTACTTTTGGAAACAAGACGCTAGTTAAAAAGGACTTCTGACACCCTTATGTCTGTTCCATTACACTGTTATTCACTCTAGTTAAGTAGCTCATAATTTCCAAAGCAGATCAAGGCAGTGCAGCCAGTCAAGTTCCGTTTCCTCGCTATGCTCTGAAAGAAAGAAAGAAAAAAGTTCCACAGTAAGATGACAGAAGCCTCATTAGAAAGCACACACTCTGCTTATCCTTGCACTGGAAAGGAATCGGACCTAGACCATCAGCTAGTTGAAGCCCAAGGAACCTCAGTGAGTATCTAGCAGCAGTTCATGTCATTTTTGCAATTACGTGACCAGGGTAGGTAGGACTTTACACAGGTACATGGGAGTAAGAATGGTGCGAAACTGTTTATTAAGTCCAGCTTGCGAATGTCTCACCACATTTTTCTTGCAGGAGCTGACGGGCTGCCTGCTGTTCTCTGACCTGAAAGGCAGTGTGAAATAGATTCACTCCCCGTCTGACCGAACTGACTTGACACAGCAGGTATCGTTTTGCTGAATTATCACCCTTCCCTACAAACACTCCCACGAAAACCTCGTTAAGAAGAACCCGGGTTCCACCACGGCTACGCTGAGGCACGGAGCTGGACACGCGCTGCTCCGGCCGAACTGAAGCAGGGCACGTCCAGCCCCAAGCCCCGCACCCCCGGCGCCCCAGCCCGCCGCACTCACCCCGGGGCCGCTCCAGCGACACCCTCCGCCTGGGCCGGGCCAGCAGCGGCCGCAGAAGTGACCCTGCAGCCCGGCGAGAGCCGGCGGAGTCACAGATTGGGACCGTGCCGAGCCTCTACCCGCAGGCCCCTCCTCTTCCTGCCGCGCCGGCTGTAGCTACCCCGCTCGCCTGTTGTTTCCCGGCACAAGCGGTGCAGGGTGTCGGGGTGACAAGCGTGGGGGGGTTGTGCCCGCTCCCTTCAGCGCCCTCCCCACTGAGAGGCGGAGCCGCCGGTTCCCCGCCCGCGGCCGGGGGCTGTGCCTATGGCCATGCTGAGTGGAGCAGCAGCGGTCGTGGCCCGGCGGTGCGGCCTCGGGCGCGGGCCCGGGCCCGGCGGGGGAAAGTTGGCAGCGCGACGGTGTTGCAGCGCAGCGCGGCGGCGGGAGTGGGTGCCGCCGGTGGGGTGGGACAGCGGGATCGTGGCTTACAACAGCCGCAGCCGGACGAAGGAGCCGCTCGTACTGGCCAAGGACCGAGTGGCGACCTGGTAGCGCCTTGCAGCGGGCGGGCGGGCGGGAGTTACCTGGGTGGCCGGGCAGAGATGACGGTGCGGTTTGCCTCTCCTCTGCGCAGGTACAGCTGCGGGCCGACAGTGTACGACCATGCACACCTCGGGCACGCGTGGTGAGTCGCTTCCTAAGTCACGGCGGAAAGCGGGCACACTGCGGGTGGGAGCCCAGTAGCTGGAGTGCGGGTACCGCCAGGCCTGCCTCGGTACTGAGCAGCCTGTATCCGGGTGACAGGCTCAGACCCCGCTGGGAGCTGCTGGCCCTTTGCCTCTTGGTCTGCATAAAGGGCAAACAAAATACTGTTTGTTTTCTTGTTTGTGTGTTTGGGTTTTCCCCCTCTAGACCTCATGAAGAATGGAAGGCGCTGTTGGTGTAGGTCATCCCAGGCGGAGATGCAGTAGTGGGGTGGGAGGCATTAAGAACATGTCTTTTTTTGCTAGGCATGGTGAGTTGTTGCAGATTTTATCAGCTCTTGTGCAGAGGAGCTGGGATGCTGGAGCCTCTTCTCTGTGAAATTACAGTTTTGCCTCAGATTTAGTTCAGACAAGGTGTTGGCACCAAGGAGAAACTGTTCAGGGTTGGCAATTCTTTCAAGTGCTTTCAAGTGTTTACTGATAAACACATCTGTTCAGTCATAGAAGCACAGAATACCAAATTGGAAGGGACCTCAGGGATCACCAGTCCAAGCTTTCCAGGCAAAGCATAACCCAGACTAGATGTCCCAGCACCCCATCCAGCTGAATCTTACAAGTGTCCATCCTTGTGGAGTCTACCACTTCCCTGGAAAGTGTTCTTAAAGCTCAGAAAGGCCTTTTTGCATAGTAATAGTTCAGTGGCTTACTGTGTTTAAAAAAAAAAACCCAAACCAAACAGCACTGTATTTTTTTCCATAGGTCATTAGAATAATTACAATACTAAACTAGCTTCATTATAAGTAACTTCAGAAAAGTACTTTAAATACACCAGGGCAGGTTTTACACCGATGCAGCTGATGAGAAGACATGCAGCAGGCTGCCTGCTGCTTCCTATGAAGTCAAGGGGAGTCACTAAACATATGAAAATACAGTTGGCAACCTCACCTTAAACGCTGCTGTTCTGTTGTGTGTATGTGGTGATGTCTTTTTCCTTCTTGCTTAGCAGAGAACTGATCTGATATTTCACCACTGATACAAGAATCAGAAAATGATATCTTAGTACCTTCAGGAGAACTTTAAAAAAAAAAAAAAAGTTGTAGCAATTTGTGCTTTTAAATCTACAGTTGCTGTAATACAGTGTAATACAGCCTATGTTACAATTTACCTTGAAATATTTACCATTAAAAAATAATCACTTGAGAGCAACTGTATAAAAAGATGCTAATAAATTGCTTCATCACTTAATTGAGGTTCTGTAGTATGATAGGGCCCATCCTGATGTTGTGTAACAGGAGAGGGAATTGTAGGAGTCTTCCTGTCCAAAGTGGTATAGTGGATCTACAGCACAATGTTTGTAGAACCGGAGAACTTCACCTTTTGGTCTTGCAGCTCTCTGGCTTTTAAATGTCTGGTTTTGTCAGTGGTTCTCCTTGTTCTCCTGCCTTTTGATTAAAGGCTTGCTCTGCCTGTTCTTCTTATCCATCTCCTCTTACCCTCTTTCTAAGCTACAAATTTCAAGTTTTCCTGATGTGAGGTTTACCCTACATCTGTGTCATCTGGGTTTGACCATTTCACTTACTGATTTAAGACAGAATATTTACAGCTGAATCTTGGCTCTGGAGGGGTGTATCATGCAGATAAATAGCAGTATACTCTTTCTGCTACCTTGTCCTCACCTTCATATATTGTTTCCTGTAGTGCTGCTGTGCATCAAGGTACCTGCACTGAAGACCTTCCTCTCTTTTCTCATTAGTTAACCCCTCCAGTGTGTGAGGAGTTGGCTCTTCCTTACCAGTGTCTGTGGTCTTGCACACATCAGTGGTGACATCCTGCTGCTTGGCTCATTTGATAAAGATGGTGGAGCACTCTTGATTTTACATGGGTTTTTAGCAATAATTGTATATTCTTTCCCCAGTAGCTATGTCCAGCTGTAGAGCTCTGGTAAGCACAGCTGAAGCGCATCCTACTGATGCAGGTCTACAGGCCAAGAGATGCACTGGGAAAGAGCATGAAGTCAAATAGAGTTAATGGTTGTTGCTGCTGTGCTGCTCTTGTAAAATATCATTTTGTTGTACTCTTGCAACATGTTATCATTAGAATCCCTTTTTCCCCCCTCCTTCTTGCATTTGACTTGCTGCAAGCACAGCGTAATGGAAATAAGCTTGAGATCCTTGGAAAGAATTTGAAAATAATGGCATTGTTACTTTCCCCCTTCTTCCTTCCCCTCCACAAGGATTTCTTATTTCTCTAAATAATCCAACTTTCTCAATGATGCTGTGCTTCTAGCCTTCAAAACAGATGCCTCAGTGCAACATCCAAAACTCATTCTGTATCAAGAAAAGAATCAGACAGGCAGATAAGGTCCTTTCCAACCCTAACTATTCTATGATTCTATGATAATGCCATCTTTTCCCTCAGTTCTGAGACTGGGTTTGATCTTGCTGGCGTGAGCTGCAGTCTTGGTTGACATCCGGGCTCCTGGCTGAATGCTTGGAAATAAGAGTAAAACCAAGCATGAGAAAAGGTTTCATTCAGTTGCTTGTGCCTGCTCTGCCATCCCACTGATGCGGACTCTCAGGTTTTTTTTCTTTTTCAGCCCTGAAGTGGTAAGAACCCTAATTTCTGAGGTGTCAGGAGTTCTGCTCTGACTTTTGCAGTGCTGCTGCTTCTATCAATTTGTTTGGAAGATCAGAGGAGAGGAAACCATGCAATATTTGTGTCAGCTCTGGCAGCTACGACTGCAGGGCTGTTTAATAACAAGCTTTTGATGTTGGCGTTGTTCCTCTGAACAGGGTCCAAAGACTGATCTAATGCTCTTGTGGAATCATGTTGCCACATTAGATGAACCTTACTCCCAGAGAGCTGGTGTTCATTAAAAACTCTCCCTGGCAGCATGGCTTTCAAAAAGCTGTTTTCAACATGGGCATAGTGCAGACAACAGAAAGTGTTTTTCTTCATCAAACATCAAGATACTGCACATCCATAAATGTGAACCTTAGTGCCACCTGGTCCCTGCAGCTAGAGGGAAGGATGCAAATCCATTTCCAGTATTTACTTGTACTTCTTTGCTCTCACAGCCATGGGAGTTGCAGTTCGTGTGATGCTGTGAGTGAAATAGGAAGCTGTAGGTCTGTGAGTCTCCTTTTGGGCTCGTTTTCTCCAAACAAGTGAAGGCTGAGGATTCTCATCACTCTACAGGGCAGACATATTGCCTCTAATCACTATCTGATATCTCACCTAATAATTGGTTTTACTCAGTCAAAGTATGTTTTGAGAATTATAAGTGGCTAGTCTGAGTAGAACAAGGGGCCTCCACGGCCCTGTGCAGTTGTAGGTACATCAGTCTATCAGCATTGAATCTTCTGGTTTGTGGCAAAGAGATTGCATAATTTTGAGGATTTATTCTCAGGTGTAAACAAAGCAAAATAACCCACAGCACAACTCTTCTTTGCTATCGGGAAAGATCTGTGGTGGTGTGTGAATGAAATAGTTTATTGGTGGCTGGCAGCTGTAGTTGTTACTCAACCCTAAGCAACGTTCATTTGCACCTTATTTCTCCCTGTTCTTCTGCCCTGTGGCTTTTGAAAACCTGTTAGAATATAGAAAGCCTGAGGGATGTGTTTCAAGAATATCTGATCTGTGTGTCTTATTGCATACTGCTGCTTTGAGAGAGCCTCGTGGCTCGTGTACCTTCCAGTGCACTTCAGCACTTGAATGAAGAGGTGCAACAAAATAAAACCCTCAGAAAATTTGATGTAATGTGTCACTAATGCCAGAAGAGGGTAGGCCAGTTCAAGGGAAATTTGCTTGACTTTTGTGTGGGTGGTAACTGGTTTTGGAAAAGCACTTTATGCACTGAAGACCTTTTCATTCATCCAAGTATTGGGGTATTTCAGTTGTCCCTGTGGCTGTTGGTACTGTTGATTATTTTTGTTTAAGTTTATTCTTAATACTGCATGTTTAAAAGCTCATGGTTTCGTTGTGTTGTTTTTTTTTCTTCCTTTTCTCTTCTAGCTCCTATGTTAAGTTTGATATAATTCGAAGGATAATGACTAAGTATTTTGGAATTGAAGTTATCATGGTGATGGGAATCACAGACATAGATGACAAGATAATAAAAAGAGCCAATGAGGTAGGTGTTTGCTGCAGTTTTGACTCAAACTTTTGATATTTTCTACAGCTGCTTACATAGGAAAATTAACCGGAGTTTGTTTGTGTTTTTTTGATGAGTGTTGCTTATTTTAATTAGTAGATGATAAATGTTGAGACTTCTGGTCCCCTCGCGTGGCTGTAGTGGGGCTGGGAGTCTGGAGGGCTGAGTGTTGGGGGTAAATGGGTGCAGAGTTCTGTGGCAGAAAGAGGTGGGAGAACTATGTTACAGCACCCGTGGCCAGTGTCCTCCTGCCCTTGCCCTCTGCCTAGGAGGCCAGTGGGGAACAAAAAGCTGGGATGAATCCTCAGAAGAGTGAAAGGTACCTTTTCCCAAAAGCAACCAAAAACTTAGCAGCCAGGAGCCTCCTGGCTGAGTTCTGGAGAAGTGTTGGTTATTATCATTAAAGGCAGCATTGCCACACACAGGGCTGAGGGTGGTTCCTGAAAGGTGCTGAGCACCACCTAGCTGCAGTGTCAACACCTTGGAAAGCTTTATCAGTCTTGTCAGGATTTGTCACCTACATAGAAGGTGCCATTGATTATAGGGGTAAGTCTTGATAAGACCTGGGCTGTGTGATTCTCAGTTGGATTTTAATCAGACCTTTTCCACCAGCTGATCTTGGTGAATGATTATTCCTTTTTTTTTTTCTTTTATTTTTTTTTTTTTTTCCTTTTTAAATGCTTTCTGGATCCTGAAACACTGAAGAATGTATTCTCTGTTCTGTACTGTGTTTTGAGTTTGCTTGTTTTAAGAATCTGTAACTCATGTCTATGGATCATAAATGAGTGTGTTAGATCAGATTGCAGTTGCAAGCTTTTCTTGGAGCCAGAGAATTTGACAGCTGTCACTTTTATTTAATCTTTAAGTAAACAGTTACTACTGCAGTTAAATATAGGGTGCTGCATTGAAATGAATACTGGCTCACTGCTTCTGTGGAAATACAAGTGTGTTCCCTTAGTCCATTTACTTGCAGTTTTCTAAGACAGTTTAATCAAAAGAGACAAGGCCCATCCCCTCAAAAACCTCAACAAAACCCCAACCCAACTAAACCAAAAAGCCCCACACCAAAACCCCGGGTGTTTTAAATCTATATGTATGCGTTTTAAGTTTTTTTTTTTCCTGTTGTCAGAACGTTAGGGGGAATTTTGTGTTTTAGGAGGCAGAAATAATATGATGTTTTAAAAGAATTTGTGTTCATTTACTGCATTCTTTGGTTGCATGAAGTGATCTTTTTCATGCCTTTTTTGTGAATTTTTTGAAATGCCGATTCTGCTCTGCACACTCTTTGGATGGCCAAGGCCTCTGCCTCAGTCCTGACTTTGTTGTTGGGACCTCTGTACCTGAATCATTATAGTGGCAGGATCAACATGTCTGAACTTGTTATCCATCCTCTGTTGGGATTCATGTAGAGAAAACCTGCAAGTTCAGCATCTAATCTGTGATGAGCGTGCTGCACACAGTAATCCTTTGAGAGAGACAGATGAGTCTCTGTCTTGAACATCCATCTGTAGGGGAGGAGTTTCCCCATCTTCCTCCTACAGTCATCTTGTCTTCTGTTGATCAAGGAAGCAGCTGAGCATCTAGGGAGATGAGTCTCATTGCTGGGGTTTGAGGGAGCACTCCTGGTCTGTAGGTGGAAGCATACCTTTGTTTCTCAGTGCTGACCATCTTCCTGGTTTCATTGCTGATGAGCATCTGGTTTGTCTGTGCCTTGGCTTGTGCAGGAGCTTGTCCCAGTAGTGGTACCCACGTGTGCTCCAAAACTCAGACCCCTTAAAGCTGCTTCAGTAATTAGACATGATGAAACTGGATTTATTTTGTTAATGATTCAGTTATGTGCAAGCTGGAGAGACTGACAGTACGTTGTTTGCTGCATAGTAGGTTTTCCTCAGAGAAAATGTAAAAGCTCACATTTGAAACACTTTGATACCATCCTTTTGTTCACGAGGGTAGGTTTTGCTGTCGTAGATCTTTAAAGCCCTGGCCTCTTCTGAATATCTGAGAATAAGTATCTTGTCATGTGTAAGTTTTCTCTTTTGGGTTGCATGTTCTTGTTGCATGTGTGAGGATTCCTGTTCCTGTCCATTGCCTTGTGACTGAGGAATGTGGAGAAGGTGTTAGAGAAGTGCCACACTTCGCAAAGTGTGGGACTGACTTTTGATTCATTTCCCCTGATTGTACCGAGATCTATGAGTAACCATGATCAGCTGAAATAGCTTATTTTTCTTGATCACTGAAAATTAATGTCTTGTCTCATCCTGCAAGTCTCTGATTTGTCTTTATGACATGTAGGTGGTATCAGTGTCCCCTGCTAATAAGTTTAATGAATTTCCCATCCTGTGTACAGTAGTATGTCTTGTCACTGGAAATTGAAACCATCTCAAGAAGAAACTAATGGGAGAGGGAAGGAGTTTATTATTTTAGTCATTGGTTGCTGTCTCCTAAAATATACATTTTAATATTTTGGAATTCAGAAGTGTAAATGAAGTACCGCTTTTGCTACATATAACTCGCATCTCCTCCTCATGGATGTTAAGAGTAACAAGCCTTTCTGACTCTTTGTCTTGGGGGTTCTGTAAGTCTTCCAATTTGATAATTCTGTCTAATAAAAGATTGCAATATTTTATATTCTTCCTTTGACTTATGATTTACTGATCAGCCTCTCTCTTTCAGATGAATATGTCACCAGTAGCCCTTGCTCGTATTTATGAAGAAGACTTCAAACAAGATATGGCTGCCTTAAAGGTACAGATATTCAAGCCTCTAAATTGTAGAGCATTTTAAAGTAGTTATTTTGGTAAGGAATCTGATTTTGACAGTTTGATTTGAAAAAAGAAATTTGTTTGCTGAAGTGTTGCTTGGAAACTTGGGATTTGGGAGTACCTATTTACTTTTTCATTCTTCTGGAAAGATACTGCACACCTTTTGAATAAGGAAATGGGGAGAAGCAAACCCTACCTTTGGAAGGAAACAATTACATTTCTTTAGCAGCACAATTGGGGTTTTTATCCATGCAATTAGTCTTGGTTCACAGATAATACATATTTACTATAATGCAGAAATAGCCTGATACAAGTATAGGAAACATGTAATACTCTTTCATCGACTTAGGGTGACTTTGTTCCTTGTCCAAACTGTTTGTCAGAAGCAGGGAGCAAGGCACTGAGAAAAATTTTCCACCATTTTCTTTTTTTCCTTCAGGGTATTATCTTAAAGGCTGCTTGTGCCATTTCAGTTATACTTGCTTTTTTTTGTTTTTGTTAAAAGAAAAAAAAAAGATAAAATTGAGGACAGTGTTCTTTAAAGTTTGTTTCCTAGAGGGGGGGAGCTTGTTGGCATATGTTTCATACAGGCTAATGAGGTGTTTTTCTTTAAGGTCCTTCCTCCTACAGTGTATATGAGAGTGACTGAAAATATTCCTCAGATAATTTCCTTTATAGAAACAATAATTGCTAATGGCCAAGCCTACGCAACCTCACAAGGTAAGACTTGTAGCAAGGCAACTCCTTGTTCAGCACATGTCCAGGAAATCAGTGCTGCTAGTAATCCTGGTTTGGGATCAGATGAGATGCCCTGTGCCAGGCTTTCCTGCTGCTGATTAGCAGACTGGGTGTGAGCAACCCGTTTGCGATGACATGAGTGGGCAGAACAACTGTTACTCAATTTCTAAGTTAAATGTAGCTTATCAATTAATATAACTGTTCACTCTAATGAAGTGCTGTCTAAGCCTCTGTGAGGAAGTCCTGGCCTGGTTCCTACAAGAGAGCTTGGGGGAACCTCTTAGCTCTAAACATGATGAGATTATCACCTATGTGCTGTAAAAAATGTGCCTGCAAAGCACAGTATGTGGATTTTATTTTTTTATTTATTTTTTATTTTACTGGTAGAATTGGTGGTTGTAGAAGGATTTGAGTGCATTGTAACTGGAGTAGCAGTAGGCTGCACTGCAGTCAGGGAGGCGATTGCTGATTGTGTATGGGCAGGGGAGAACCTGGGGAGATGTGCAGAATACAAAGTTATTCTGTATGCAGAATGAGCACATACAGTGAGGTTACTGAAAAGCTGGTAATGTGGAAACATCTGCTACTATTTCTGAATTTCTAAATTGGAATAAAATGGAAGTTGAAGGGCATTTTGTTTTGCTTTCAGGGAAGTATTCTGTCTTCCTCATGATTGTGCCATATCTTTGCTATATCACTAAACATTTCTTTTCTGTTAGGCAATGTTTATTTTGATGTTAAGTCTTGGGGAAAAAGATACGGAGTATTAACTACTATTTCTTCTGATACCCAAGATGAAGCAGGTAAGTTCTTGGCACCAACTTGTTTGTATTAATGTCTCATTTGAACTTGTAACGTATCTATGTGTAAACTTTCATTCTGGAGCAGTTTTCTAACCTGTTGTGTATATCCAACTTTTTGGTTAATTAGGACTACATTGCTTTCATAATTATTTATTGAGGCATTCACTGTTGACAGTGCAGGAGGAAACTTGGCCTCATTTTATGCTTGGCTCCCTCTGTACCTTTGTTCTGGTACCTTAGAACAATTAGGATTCTTAATCAATTATTTAATACTTGGGAGTGGTACATATAAATTTCATAGTGATGTGATGGTCTCAGCTGTTGCACAAACCAGCAGTGAGATACTCAAGGGTAAATGCAGGGAAACTTCATCTGGTGTGTTACTGTTTGGGCAGTTGTACTCCTTTGATTCCTGATAACTGGATGAATGTGCTTTGTTCATTACTTACGATACTTACATTACCAGACTACTTCTAAGCAGCCTATTTGTGTGAGGGTGAGCAATCTGTTGCCTATACCCTAGGTTTTGTGGTTTGTTTTTTTTCTGCAGTTGTCTGGCTGCTGAGCAGGATTGCTGATCCTCTTGGCAGTTTCCCAAAGTTAGGTCTGATCAGGTCTCTGACCTGAAAATTTGATGTAGGTCTCATGCATCCTTTTGCATGCTGAAGTTCAGTATTTCTTCATTGAAAAAATCCATTTGCAGTTACTGAAAATGCCTGGCAGGCTGATGCTCAGGTGAATTGCAGCCAGAAACTTCTCACAGCCCCACTCTGGAGTTGTTTCAGCATTACAGCTCACAGAGGGAATACGTTTTGTCAGCGGTTATTCAGAGACAGTTACTGACTGCAAAGGCAGCCAACAGCTTCCGGGACTGTACTGGGAAAAGCACTGCCAGCAGGTCAGAGGAGGTGATCCTTCTTCTCTGCTCAGCACCGATGAGACGTGCCTGGAATCTGGGTCTGATGCTGGGCTCCCCACTGTGAGACAGACATGGACATACTAGAGAGAGCCCAGCAAATGGCTGTGAATGAAGTGGAGGTACTGGAGCATTTTCATATGAGAAAAGGCTGAGAAGGTTGGGACTGCTCAGGTTGGAGAAGAGAAGGCTCAAGGGCATCTTACCTGAGTGTACAGACATGGGGAGAATAAAGAAGATGGAGCCAGTCTTCTCTCAAGTGGTGCTTGGTGGCAGGGCAAGAGGCAATGGGTGCAACCTGAAACACAGGAAACTGCATTTAAAGCTTAGAAAAACCTTTGTTACTCTGTGGATGGTTAACAGAAGAATATGTTTCCCAGAGAGGCTGTAGAGTCTCCGTCTTTGGAGACACTAAAAATCCAACTGGACACAGTTTTGGGCAGCCTGCTGTAGCTGAGCCTCCTCTGAGCCAGGGTTTGGACTAGACAATCTCCAGATGTGCCTTCCAGCTTCAGTTGTGACTGATTACCCGTTTTACCCTGTTTCCTTTCAAGTGACTTACAACTAAATTTACTGTTAATTTCTAAATATTTTAACTGTTGTTTTGCTTATAACCAAGAAAAGAAGGTTTTTTTGTGGCAGTTTACTCCAGGCAAAAGAGGAAAGGAGTCAACAGATACTGGTCAGCCAGAGCTTGGCAAACTGGTGGAAGAGCCAAGATGAAGATTCAGTGGATAAAACCAGGGATATATTTCTGTCCCTTTATTTCTTATCAGTTTTGAATGATGAAACAGATGTAATGGATTTTTGTAATGTGCTTCCCTTAATATTGCATGACATTCTGAATAAAAACTGACTCTGTGTAATATCAGTAAAGTAGAAGCGAAATGGCTCAAGAAAAATGACCATCTAATAGATCTCCAAAAATAGCTGTGAATCATCATTAAAATGTGTTGATACTGGAATGCTCCAGGGATTAGTTCAGACCCAGTGATACACCGTGAGTTTGCTAGGAGTCTGAAATAAATAAAGTAGTAAATCTGGTGTCAGCTGCTGGTAAATCAGATGAGAGACGTTAAATAAGGGAACTGAAAACGTGCAAGTTGCTTGCCAAGCTGCATCCGTTTAAGCCAAATTGATGTACTGTCCTGTACCAGTCAAATGTGAGATGATGTATTTGTCAGAAAAAAAAAAAAAAAGCAGAGTTTGGAACCCTGTTCTAGTTTTAGTTATTACCTTTCTAGTTGTTATTACCTTTCTAGTTGTTATTACCTTTCTAGTTAGTTGTTATTACCTTTCTAGTTGTTATTACCTTTCTTGTTAGTTGTTATTACCTTTCTAGTTGTTTGTTATTACCTTTCTAGTTGTTTGTTATTACCTTTCTAGTTGTTTGTTATTACCTTTCTAGTTGTTTGTTATTACCTTTCTAGTTGTTTGTTGTTACCTTTCTAGTTGTTTGTTATTACCTGCCTTTCCTGCAGCAGTACAATCTGTCCTGGGAAACTGGCTGATAAATAACTAAATGAATGATGTAAAACTGGAGAAGTCCAAAAGGACTAAAAGAAAGGATGATTGAAGAATCTTGAACCCATCTTTTAGCCTGCAGAAATCTAATTCGGCATACTATTTTTTTTTCTTTTTTTCAAATGGTTGAGAAAATGGAAGCTCGGTGTAAGGGAGGAAAGCTGCTGGAAATGAAGTTGAGCAAAAGAGGTTAAAATCTGAGTAATTCACTAAATACATGCCCACTTGCTTGCTTTTTTTTTTTTTTTCTTGGAGACACATCTCATAAACATTTCACTATTCTTGGCAGTTAATACTGATAAACGACATGGTAAAGATTTTGCCCTATGGAAGGCTGCTAAACCTCAAGAGCTATGTTGGGCTTCTCCCTGGGGAAAAGGAAGACCTGGATGGCACATAGAGTGTTCCACAATATCGAGGTCAGATTCTTGGCTTTTAAATCTAGTGCTGTTTTTTTTTATTTTGATTGAGTACAGTGGTAGCAGCAGTACTGAAAGTGATTTTTCTGATCAGTAGAACACCAGTTTTGATACGAACATTTTGTGCAATTGTGCCCCAAACTGCTCCACCTTAAGGGGCATAGCTCTCTTGCTGGATTTTGGCACTTTTTCTTGAGAGAGACTCTGAGCTTAAAATATGGCATGCAGGATCACACAGTTGATTAGCAAGTCTTTAACTTGAATGGAGTAAGCAGAGTTTTAGGGAAGGGTATGGTATCTCTTTCATTTGCCTCTGTTCCACTTGTTGCAGTCTCTACTGGACGTAGTTCAGCACATGGTGCTGTGTCAGAAGGACAGGGTATGGGAATCCGTCCTGGCTCCTGTGAGTGCATCAGGTCTTGTTGGCCTTAACTGCAGTTTTGCGTTATTTGGCTTTCATTAGAAGTCAGCTGCAGTATTAAATATTCTCATTTCTCTATGGAAGTAAATTCTGTGGGCATGATGTCAACTGAGTGTAGTAGCATTTTGCTTGTAGTTGGTTTAAATTAATTTGCTCTTAATTTGGAGCATTATTTTCTCCACGGGATGGTAGTACTTTGTCCTACATTGTATTAACTTATGACCTATTAATTTGTGTTTCTAAAAAAGAGACTTTACATTTTCTCTCTTGGAAGCTTGTTAGTGGTGCTTAGTTCTGCATTAGTCTCAGATCTTTTTTTTTGGAAGCTAATTACAAATTACTTAGATCTGGCCCTGTGTAACCAAAGTTTTCAATTCACACTGAAAGCAGATGGAACAGATGCTGTAGGTTTCTCTTTCATATTCTTTGCTGGTCACCTGGGGTTTTTAGTCATTACTACTAGATTGTGGAAAGCATTTATAAGGGTGACTTCCTGTCTGTAAATAGTTTCAGCACTGTTAAACAGTTCTTTAGAGCAAGTGAAGTACACAAAAACATAGAATCATAGAGTGGTTAGGGTTGGAAGGGACCCATTTTAAGCAATACCCGCTTACCTGGCTGTTTCGCCAAAAGTCTCAAAGCACTTTAAGCTAGGTGAGCTCATTTTGAAAAGCCTTTGAAGTGTGCCTGAGAGGGTGAATGAGGAAGGTGTGGGTCTCTAGTGCAGCCCTGCAGGAGGTAACCACTTGCTGTGACTTGGGTCTGATTTCCTCTCCAGAGCTTCCCTTGAGGTGAGGTGGTCTTGCTCCTCCTGCCCCTGAGCATTCTGCAGATCCATCTCTCCCCAGCTCTTAATGGTTTTGTTGGAGCAAACTACAAGTGGCCAGTGCTCCTCTGTAGATGGTGCAAGGGAGGGTGTGAGCTGGAGCCCCTCCTGGGAGGATCTGTGCTTAAGCTGGGTTTGGAGCAGACAAGAGGAAGCAGAGGAGTATAAGCTTGAGAAATGGTAACAGCTAGTCTTTCTTACCATCTCTCCTTGTTTTCTTCCTGTGCTCCAACAGCTTCTGCAAAGCCATAACGAGCCAGGGTGGTTTGTCCCCAAAAGGGACAAAAGTATTAATATCTAGCCAGCTATGAGGAGCAACTTGTTAATGTGACACATGGGAAGACTGCGTGTTTCTCTATGCATGCATATGTGGGGCTTGCCTTTAGAAAAATAATTGCTCCTACTAACAAGAATTAATTGTGGCCAGATAGGGGTCTTGCTGCAGCTTTAGTATAAGATTTGTGTGAAGTCTTGCCTTAAAACTGCAGTCATTAAACTGTACACTTGAATTTATGTTGTTTCATTGTATTCTTTTCTGCGTTTCTTTTTACAAAAAGCTTTTGTAGTGTCCTACTTACTGATCAGGAAAATATTGTTACAGTGCAGTGTTTGGAAAGCAGCTGGACATCCATACTGGCGGAATAGATCTTGCATTTCCTCATCATGAAAATGAAATCGCACAGTGTGAGGTGTATCATCAGTGTGAGCAATGGGGAAATTACTTTTGGCATTCTGGTAAGTAAAATATGAATCAACCTGAATGGCCCGGACAAATACAACAGCTTGGGTTTTTTAGGTTTGGCTTTTGTGTGGTATGAAAACAGACGGTCTACTGCAGTGACTAAGTTCCTGTCTGACATGTTCTATGGAGTATGAGTGATTTGTTGGTGTAGCATGTAGATGCCACAGACCCCATCTCTTACCCCAGAATTAACCTCACTGGCTATGCTTTAGTAAACTGTCTGAAAGTGTCTTTTACTTGCTTGGTCTTCAGCATATGGTACTGCCTGGCATTATGTAGAAAAATATGCACGGTAATGCTTCACTGAAGCTTGTGCTGTACAGTGTTTTGAAACTACATTCTTGTCTGATGGTACTAGCACCGTTCCCATTGATGAAAACCTTGAAATTTGTTCTTCTTATTGTGGTCACTGTGGCTCTGGATGGTCAGCTGAAATCAATAGAAAGTCACATTCAAGTCCGTGGTGTCTTTTTTTGCTGAACAGCACTTTATGCAAGATGTGTTGGTGAACTCTTTGAGCTGCTTCTCTAAGAGCTGCAGAGTTAAGCCTGTGGTATACCCTGGGAGTTACTTGAGCTTTCTTTTTTTTATATATATATTTCTATTGTAGAGGATGAATATTGAATTCTAGTTTCAGTTCACAGTGTAGAGCCTGTTGCAAATCAATAGCAATTGTCTAGAGTGTGGTGCATCCTCCAGGGTATGCTTTGCTCCTGAAGTGCTGGGGAATTCACTGTGCTTCCCCTGAGATGCACTGATCACTGCCAGCTGGAGCCGTCTGTTGAAAAAACAGTGAATCTGACTGTTCAAGCTTAGCATTGAAACTATGGGAAAAATACTCTTTGAAGCTAGCTAGCTGAAGAGGAGTCAATCCTTCTTAAACAAGCAGAAAAAAAAATGGGGTAAAAAAATCCCTAACTTGATTCCAAGGGCAATTTGTACATTGAGATTCTCCAGGAGCTGACAGATTACATTCATTAAGTAAAAAAAAAAAAAAATTGCTGGAGGATGATAGTGTGAATTATTTAGGGCAAATGAATCAGCTTCAGAAACAATTTATTCTGGAAACAGACTTCAGAATTTTAGCAGGCTCAGAATTGGAGGAGCAATCCCCATTAGAGGAAGAAAATCCCTGCACTGGGGATAAATCTTCTTAAAGGACTTTATTTTTAGATTACTTGTACTCTGGGAAGAGTGCCAAGCCAAAGTTATGAAAATCCTTGTATTTTGTGATTCTTTAATGAAATCCTTCTAGGTGCTGAAACTCTTGAGGAGGAATATTATTTCAAATTCAGATGTCACCTGTATGTTACAAGGAAAACACAAACTATTTTAGGCTTGGCTGCTCACAGTTGTCAGTCAATATTTAGGAACCTTTGCAAAATAAGAAAACAATTTTCCTTCTCCCAGGAGAAGTTGGGGTTGTATAGCTTGGAGAAGTCTCAGGGGGACCTTATCGCTCTCTACAACCACGTGAAAGGAGGATGGAGTGAGGAGGTGGCTGGTCTCTTCTCCCATGTAAGAAGTGGTAGGACAAGAGGTAACAGCCTCAAGTTGCACCAGGGTAAGATTAGATTGGATAGTAGGAAAAATTTCTTCACCAAAAGAACAGTCAGGAATTGGGTCAGGCTGCCCAGGGGAGTGGTGGAATCACCAGCCCTGGAAGTGTTCAGAAACCATGGAAATGAGGCCCTCAGTGACATGGTTTAGTGGTGGACTTGGCAGTCCCATGATAACGGTTTGCCTTGATGATCTGAAAAGTCTTCTAACGTATATGGTTCTATGATTCTATTACAGAGTAAGAAAAGTTTCTGCTTAAAAATCTAAGTACTATTAAGTGCTGGATTTTGCAGGCCATTAAGTGCCTAAAAATTGTGTTAGCTGTGGGTGCTTGGTAACTTACAGGATAACCCTTTTATTAGGAGAAGCCAATGAAAGCTCTCCATACTTTCCTAAATGTGATGGAGACAATTACTGCTTTTTTCCTGTACAACAATACTGCAAACCAACAGTCCATGTGACTATTGGAAGCTCTAGCAATGCTCAGAGATTGTGTTTTAAAATGAGCTAATTCAAATTAGGCATCATAGCTACATCCCTCCCCTTTTTTCTTAGTCTCCCAAAATCTGGAGAAATAGGGCATGTGCAGAAAATTAATTTTACACTTAAGGGTATTTTGAGCTGGCACAATAAAATTATGGATTAAAAAAAGAGCAACAGCCACCAGCAGTAGTAAGTGCAGAAATTGTTTGAGTTTTGGGAATGTTGTAATGTGAGATTATTGGAAGATCTTTAAAGGTCTTAAAATATTGCTGGAAAGTCAAGGGTAGCAGGTAAGGTACTTTTCTGTGACGCATTCTGAGAAGTGTTTGCTTGCTTGAAGGGAAACATTTTTTTCCTTACATCTCTGCCCATGTTGGTGCTGTTTTGTCAGGGGGTGTTTTGTGGGGATTTTTGTTGGGTGTGGGTTTCTTTTGTACTAGCAAAGCTATTAAAATGTTACGTGTTGCACTGAAATGGTTGGTGCATGTGAACCACAGCGTATGCTGCCTCCAGCGTTTCCAGTGTCTCAGTGCAGTGTTTCTCAGTCAGTCTCCATTCAGAAGCATGCTCATTTATCCTCATTAATTTTGTTTGGTTTTGTTCTAGGGCATTTGCATGTTAAAGGAAGTCAAGAAAAAATGTCCAAGTCATTAAAAAACTACGTAACAGTTAAGGTAATCTGTTTCTGTAAATTGAAGCAATGTATGTTTGTAATATGTAAATATTAATCACAGCCTTCTTCTGAGAAAACTTTGGAGAGTGTGCTTGTGCTGTAGAGAAAGACCTGAAGCAGAGTGTTTCTCTAGTGCTGGTGGGTGTACCTGTTATTGTGGATCCAGATGTAGGAAACCTGCTCAGACTCAGGGCTTGCTTCTAACGTGATCTTGTTGAGAGTGTTTGTAGGAGCAGCATTTGTGCCCAGTACCAGACTTCTGCATTACAGGTTTGTGGTTGGACTTGATGATATCAAGGGCCTTTTCCAACCTAAGTGATTCTGTTCTATAGTGATGGGTTCTTGCCTGTCTGCTCTTAATAGTGTATATGCTTTTGGGACTTAGAAAAGAGCAGACATACTTCCTCGTTCTGCTTTAGGTGAAATGGGACACAGTGTCAGCATTGGGTGTCCCACAAGTGCACTGTGCCAATGGTCTCTTGTATTTTCCTTTGTGGTGACCTTGCTGATGCACATAGAGCTTTGTCTTTTGCAGCCATAAGCCACGTGAATACGTCCTACTGCATCCCAAAGTTTTTGGTGTAGCCCAGAGCAGGATTTCTGTGCTAGGCATGTGCGATACAGCTGTGCTTGGTGCTAGGGTGGCTCCAGTGATGGCTGACACTTATTCCTAGAAGTGGGTAATTTCCTTCCTTTAGACAAAGCTTGAGGAGCTCTTTCAGCACATATGTTCCCCTTTGCCCTCTTGGAAGACTTAATTAAAATCCTTTTAAAAAGGAGTTCAATGTGAGCTGCTTTATTCTTAATTCTCCTGATGCTGTCTGGGTACAATTAAGCCCTGTCTCCCCAAGAAAATCATGGTTTTTGCAGTAATTTCATGAACAGGATGGAGAAACGATCACAGATGCAATGCATGCAATTAGAAGTAACATATAAAAATGTGCCCTCCACATCTGCAGTGGGACTTCTTTGTGCTGAGAAAACAAAAACTTGAGGTCTGTCTCTCTTCCCTTGTGGGTCTCTGCTTTTAATTTCTGCCCTTAGGTGTGGCTAACTAGTATTAATCCTTCCCTATAAGTGACTTTTGGTCTGATCAAACAAATTTCTTCCTGTACAGCCTTCTTGCATCTTGACAGTTAAGCTCTATGTGGAAGTTTTTACGTTCCAAAAGAGGGGAAGCCTGCCTAGGACCTTCCTGTGGTGCTGGCTGCCTGTATTTCAGGCTGTCACCCAGGCACAGTCACCTTGCACCCTCCACATCCAGCTGCCCTGTTTTCACTGCCCCTTGTCCCCTTCTCTGATTTCTCCCCCTGACCTTTTTCTTTCTAATAGCTGTTCATTCTGACCTCCAAAGTCAAGCATATTGCGATCATGCACGGCTGAGCAGCCTGCTTTGAAAGAAGTGGGATGCTTTCTCTGTACTGTTTTAATAAAATGCCAAATTGCCTTTTTTTTTTTTTTTTTTCTGGTTTGGATGGTCATTTGTCAAGTTTGAAGCTATTTCTGTGCTTTACTCATATTGTTCTACCTCTGTATGTTAGTGGAAAGCTTCTGGGCACCATGGGTGCACTCAGTTACATAGATTTTATTTAAAAGGACAAAACCAAACAACAACAAAGCCAAAAACCCACCCACTGAAACAAGCAGTATCAACTGTTTATTTCTTGATTTAGCTTGCCCTGATTGCTTCAGTTATTTCTGGTTTTACTTAAGAGACAGCACATTGCTGGCACTTGGGTAACTTCAGTGTTCAAGCTGGTTTAGTCTGGTAGCAGAAGCTCAACTTTGAAATATGCATCTTTAAGGACATAAATTACGCTTTCCGGATTTTCTCATTTGTGTTGATGTTTTTTTCATGATTTTCTGTTTCAGTGGCACTTCAGTGTTACAAACTTACCATCAGCAGTTTGGAAACTAGACAAAGAGGCAGGAATGTAGTGTTGACAGTCAATCTGCCACAGTGTCCAGCCTTGCTGAGAGCAGAATTGGAAGTGTTGAATGTTTTACCAGTGTACCTTTCAAGCATTTAAATATTTCTTTATACTATTAGTATAAATTACACTAATAGTAATAACTTACTCTGTTGTGTAGTAAACTGTTTGTTAAGCTGGATAAACATTAGGGTATAATTAATGAGGTTTCATAATTAATACAGGTGAATTCTAGCAATATTAAAAGAAGTTATTTTTTTGTTAACTCCCTGTTGTTGCGTATTCTAGTCCTGCAGAAGAGGTACACTTATTTTTCAATAAATCTTTCTTTTTCTTTAAAGCTTTCAAAACTCAGGACCTGTACTTCCCTGCAAGCTTGTATCCTAGGCTTAGTTTGATAATTTTAGTTTGGCGTTTTTGCAAAGGTCTTCGTACAGTGTATGTTTGATCATAATTACAAAGTACTTTCCACTGTCTTATATGTGACATTGTGTGTATGTTTATGTCTTGTATAGATGCACATCTGTCTTATATGGAATTAAATCTTACTTAGTTTAGACTTTAAACCAGTGTTTAAACCGGTATCTTAAACTATGGAGATCGGTTGTCATGTTTGTTTGCCTGAAATATGCTATGAAACTGGTGTAAAGGAGTGGAACAACTCCTGAAGTAATTGTTTGATGTACTGCTAAAGCTTTCCTTTTATGGGTGGAATTTAGGATTTCCTGAAGAAATTTTCATCGGATCAATTCAGGATGTACTGTTTGCGCAGCAGATACAGCTCAGGTGAGATAAAAACCCGTTATTTGTTGAGATATGGCTTTCTGCACACGCATGCTTCCCAAGCTGGCAATGCAGAAGTGTGGTGGAGTGAGCGCACCTTGTGGTGCCTTGCAGTGTCCCTCTGTTGGGTGAAAAGGTTGGCAATGCTCTGAGGGGCTGTTCTTTGGTTCTTTTGTAGAAAAGCATCTTTACTGAGCACAGTACACAGTCATTCATCTAAGTACCTTCCTGAGCTGCAGTTAATTGCGATTCTCAGTTAATTGCACTTTCAGTTAATGAATTACCTCCATCTCTGATTTGCCCCTGTTGCAGTCACTTGTGTTTCGGATACGATCAGCTGGTTTTTGAGCTCCATCTAGGTAGAGCTTTGCCTTATATTCCTGTAGGGTATGACAGGGGCTTGCGAATAACTTTCTGTCTCCCTGCTGTGTTATCATTCTTTGTTCTGTGGAATTACTGAGTGTTCAAGCAGTTCTTTGGTGTAGTGCAGCTCACTTACATCTCGATAACCTAATGATCATCTTGGCTTGGGGAACACTGCTTGTGGGGAGAGGTGTGGGACATTCTGTCAGCTTTGCTGTCTACACTGTTGTATTTCCAGCAGGCAAATGCTACTTTGAACTGGAAGAGGTTTCCATATACGATATGAAAATATTGATTCCATAGCATTTTTACCAGTTTATGGCAGTTTGCCAAAAGCATATGGTAGTTCCCTAACTGTCTGTGGCCCATTGGCCATCCTGGCATAGTAAGGGAATGGTGGAGCACAGGGCAACACCTGCTGTGGTACTTTAGTGGGCCTCTAACTGCCTCAGATGAAGCACCTCTAGCACTGTGACTGGGAAAATGGCATGGTTAAAGCTCTGTGGCTTTGCTAGTGTCTGTCAGCATGCAAGCCTTGATAGAGGTGCAGTCGTTGGACTGAGAAGTATTTTGCTTGTTAATAACTCTAGATGCTTGCAGGAGCTACCTGTCTGATCTTCCTGGTAGAGCCTCCCTCTCCTAAGGCAGCTGAAGGCACTGGGAATGCCATGTATCTGAAATATTTTGAAGCTTGGGATAGTAAAGATACTCCTGGTTATTACCTGCCCATCCCCACTGTGGCAGGAAGGGAGGAGCACATTCAGGTGGGAAGTTTGCTGCAGATCAAGTCGCCATTTGGAGCAGGACAGAGGCAGGCAGTGGGGAGTACTGCCACTGCAGGGTGAGGCAGCAGGATGGTGACATGCAATGGGTCTCTGTCAAGAGATGAAATACATTGTGCACACATAAATGGCTCCCTGGCTGCAGCTGGGAACACTTGGGAGTGTATTTAAAACAGAAGAAAAAAGGCTAACACTTGCAACACCATCATACATATATGTATTTGTCCTGTAAACCAAAGCCAAATGGCTGGCGATTGCTAAGCTGGCCTTGGCAAATAATGGCAGTGCCTTTGCTTTATGCAGTTAAGTGGAGGGGTTATGAGCCTGCTGCAGGCATCAGGGTTATGTCCCAAATACTCTGTTGGTCACCAGAACCACTGCGGTGATCTTGTGAACCTGAGTGAACTGTAACATTTTGGTCCCTTTGGTCTTTAATTACTTGGTGGTGCTAAAAACCATGTGGTTTGTAATTTGATAGTGTAGCAATGATGCAAAAGAGGGAGGGAGCAGGGAGTACAGTAGGGGTTTATAGAGCTGGGTTTGTCGGTGCCATGCTGTGGGTTTGCAGTGCCTGCAGGCAGTGGCTTAGGAAAGTGCCATGAATCAGGGAAGAAGAATGGCTTTAATCAAAACAGGCTTCATCAGGGTAAACTTTCATCAGGTATTCCTCATGGAGTTCCTGTAGCCAGGGTAATCAGTTGAGTAATCTTGTTGGGTATAAGTGATCGCTTTCAATATCTCACTGTTTTCCAGAAGTCTGCATGTAAGTCTTTTTTTCTAAGCTGAGTAAAGCTTAATTTTAAAAACTGGTGTTAATGAGGCCATAATGCAGATTCTTTATTGCATACAAGTGGAAAATCTGACAAACATGGGTCCAGACTTATGCCTTAGTTATACTGGGGTGAATAATATGGAAAGTCTGTTTAAACATTTAGGCTTCTTTGGGATTTGGGCTAATGGAACTGAGATCAGGTCTTGCATCTGGCTGTTTCTGTCCTCTTAGATCTGCCTGCCCCTTGCTCAGACTGTCTGCTCTAAAGAGTCTGTGTCTGGGCAGCATTGTGTAATTGCACAAAGTAGTTGACTGTCATGTATGTAGGACCAGAGGTGAGGTTGCTGTGGAAGCTACAGGTGATGCTCAGTGCTGATGAGATTAGAAATATGCTACAAGCTGTAGTTTGACTGCAGCTTAGTACAGAGGTCAGGCATAAAACGGCGAAACACTATTTCACTGGCTGCAAATGGTGCTTTGATTCAAGTCATCAACTCTGGTGTGATATTTATAGAATTACTGAATAGTTTGGCTTGGAAGGGAGCTTAAAGACCACTTGGTTTCAGCCCCCCTGCCATGGTCAGGGACACCTTCCACTAGACCAGGTTGCTCAAAGTCCCATCCAGCCTGGCCTTGAACACTGCCAGGGATGGAGCATTCACAACTTGGGCAACCCTCAGCTGCTCCGGGCAAACTGTGCCAGTGCATCATCACCCTCACAATAAAGAGCTTCTTCCTAATATTTAATCTAAATCTCCCCTCTTTCAGTTTAAAGCCATTCCCCTTGTCCTGTCATTTCCGGCTCATGTAAGAAGTTCCTCTCCAGATTTCTTGTAGGCCCCTTTAGGTACTGGAAGGCTGCTCTAAGGTCTCCCCAGAGCCTCCTATTCTCCAGGCTGAAAAAGCCCGGCTATCTCAGCCTGTCTTCATAGCAGAGGTGCTCCAACCCTCTGATCATCTTGATGGCCCTCCTCTGCATGTTCTGCAACAGTTCCATGACCTTCGTATGTTGAGGACACCAGAACTGTACACAGTACTCCAAGGGGGGTCTTGTGAGAGCAGAGTAAAGGGACAGGATCACCTCCTTCGACCTGCTGACCTTTTGATGCAACCCAGTATGTGGTTGGCTTTCTGGGCTGCAAGTGCACATTGGAGGTCTCCAAATACAGATCATGGCTACCTAAATTAGAATAGGAACAAAATTAGAGGGGGGATCAAAGATACGCTTTGCCAGCTGAAATCTGGGGGGATGCCTAGAAATATATTCAATCCAAATGGTTTGGAGCAATAACTTTACAGATTCAATAATAATAATAATGCCAAGTAGTGAATGCTTCAGTCAGTTTCCAGACAGTTTTTGAATAAGTCTGATACCTTTCTAGCAGGTATGATACCTTTGTCATATGTAGTGATCATCTTTTATATTGATTTAATTCACCGAGTGTGCATGAAGAATGGAGGTTTTAATTAAATGTGCAAGTAATTGTAAGAAAAGTTGATTGTGACAAAAAATAACAAACTTTTCCTGGAATGACTTTGTCTCAGAATATTGTTCCTGTGTATGACAGGCACCATCCTCTCTGTCATAACATCCTAATAGATGTTTTTTATTTTCTCTGTAGCAGTAGAATTCAGTGACGAGAGCATGGATGATGCAAAGAACCTTCTTCAGGCAATCTCCTCATTTATTAAAGATGCAAATGCTTATATAAAAGGACAGCTGATATGTGACCCTGTTAGAGAAGACATACTGTGGGAAAGGTAAGTGCACCCGTAGTTTAAAGATTGTGATTATGTGAACAGTAGTTTGCTGACAGGCTCAGAGGAATGAACAGTGTGGTGTTCTGAGTTCAGTTTAAGAAGCAGGACAAGAAGGACTGAGAGGCAACCTTCCCTGCCAGCCCTCACCAAGACCAGGGCATTCTTCTTCTCTTCCTAGCTAGCTGCTTTTCCTTGTAGTCTGCTGCATTTAGTTCACTGTGTTTTTAAAATCCTTGTTATTTATCTAGTGTGCCTGTTCTAACACGGGCATCTTTGTCCCTCTCAAGTGATGCAAAAGGCAAAGCTATGACTGAAGTTGTGAGACTTGCGTGTTATAAATAGAATTGTGTGTTAGTGGCTGAAGAAGAGGATGGCTGAAAAGTGATATGCCTTAGGCACATGAGCGTGCAATCAAGCTGGCTGGCACTATGGTGTTCAGCAGAGGAGAGAAGGGGTTACTAAGAAACTGGCCAGGGGCAGAGATGTCACGGGGAACAAAGAAATTGTTGGTTGTGGCCCTGAGGAGGAGAATCTCCTTTGGAGTCCCTTAGGAAAGCAGATCATCTTCCAGGAGAGAGATGTGCTGTACGTTGGGTGTAAAGCTGAGATCAGTGCAGTACTCTGGAGTTGGGGTAAGAGGGGAAGGAGCTGAGCACCCTGAAGCAATGTATGTGGAGACAGTTTTGGGATTGGGATGTAGGATCAGAGGGTAAGTGCTGTAGAAGTGCGAGATGGCTTCCCTGTGGTACCGGCACCTCATGGTTGGGGAGCTTGCAGCTGCACCAGCTAACGCTTGCAAGGAGCACTGAACATGCTACAGGGAAGCAGAGCTGAATTAACTAGTTGTGGTATTTGGCAAAAGCAGGTCCTTCAGCAGGAGACTGCAGGTAACCTGTTGGTGAGAGATAAGGCTGAGAGACATGAGGCACGTGGGGAATTTGAAATGGATTGTCAGTGGGGATATGTGGAAGGGCACAACTTGTGTATCAGTAGATGTAAACCCAACCAAAATGAAATGAAGCTGTTTATTAGGAAAGTGGTAGATATTCAGCATAGAGGGAGAAGCTTGCAGGGAAGAGTGTTCTGAGGAAGGAGTTAGGGCAGCAGCCATCTGATATGAGGGGAGGCATTCCAGGCAAAATCACTCTCCTGGGGTTCAGGATAGCCCCAGAGGTTCTGGGGTAGCTTGAGTTTCCCCAGGTAACCCTACTGCCTCAGGGAGGGAAGAAACAGCACTCTTGAGTCAGTGCTATCGAGGTCCATTTCACCTGGCTGTGTACAAGAGTGTGCTGTCTGTCAGCAGCTGTTCCCAGCTCACCATTTATTCCTGCTGCTGTTCTCACTGCCCACCTCCGAGTGGTGGCAGTGGTTCTGTGGTGATGAGTGCTGGCTGCCCCCTGGCTTTTGATGCCGTTACACAAACAGTCCCACCAGACCTCTCCATCTGGGCCAAGCCAAGCAGAGTCTGGGGTCTGGGATTAGGCTCTCCTGGGAAATGAGGAAGCAGTGCTTGCTTTTGAGCTGGATCCTGCCAACAGGACTCCTGGCAGACCCCGTGTCAGCACTCTTCCCAGGCACTGGATGTGCGTGATGTGCTTTGGAAGAGAAGCATGTTGTTAGTATGAAAAATGGGCTGCTGGAAAAAGAAAAGAACTTAGCAAAATCTTTAACGTGCTTAATATCAGTCTCATTTTTCATCTGACTTTAATTGGCTAAGGCGTTGTTGGCTCCTGTGATTAGCATGTATTTATTGAATGGACGCAGAACTTCAGCTTTTGAGATGCATCAGGTTTTTCCCTTTGCAGCTGAAAGATGTATTCCCCTTTATCAGTGTAGCATCACCCATCATAGGACAGCTAGGAAGAAAATGAAAGCGTCCTTTCGGTGACTTCCTCTGGCTGAACAGCTGATGAATCCAGTGTACTGCTGGCATCTTGTTTGTCTTATCTTAAATGCTACCTTTTCTTCTTGAAGGCTAGCCAACACAAAAGTAACCGTGAAGGCTGCGTTTGCAGATGACTTTGACACCTCCAGGGCTGTTGCAGCAATTACGGACCTCATTCACCATGGCAACAGACAGCTTAAGGCTGTTACTAAGGTAACCCATTAGGATACAGAGATCAGAAAATGACAGCTGTCCACTGTCCTACTGTTTAATGCAGACAGATTAGTTTATTGTTCACATAAGAAACCAGCAGAAACAAAGCTCCATAAATTGTTGACCTTAGCGGTGCCCATTTGTCCTGATGGTATAGCAGGAATGTGTGCAGCTATTATTTTGTGCTTCCTTGTGTCCAGAGGATGTTTCTTTCCTGCTGCCCTATATTATTTATAACAAAGGCTTTTGAAAGGCCTGAAGCCACTGTGGCATGCTGGTAATTTTAGTGCTGTTTTTATGTTCTTACCCTGCTTCTTTGCATAATATCCATGCACAGAAATCAACCTAAACTGGGAAAGGGGAGGTGGTGGTTGCTGGGGGGGATGCTTTGGTGGTGGCTGCATGGGGCAGTCACAGTGGCGAGTTCACCTTTGGGGACCAAGTGGCTTAGGCAGATTATAACTGTGGCCTCAGCATGCCTGCAGGAGTCTGTTTTCAGATGGTTTTTGGCAAATTGAGACCCTGTTAAGACCTCTCGATGCTGACACAAAGGAAGCATCTGGGGACAAGACCTGAGCAGTAAACACTGTCTGAAGCACTTCTGGGTCTCCTTCGACCAACAGCTCCCTTTCTTGCTCAAGGCGAGCAGCTCAGGCTTGTTGCTGCGGTGTTTTATTGCTGATGTCCTCATGTTAACCATGTTTGTGCTGTAAAAGGAGCATTGCGTACATTGTAATACCTGATCTTAAGAGAGAATTAGGCTGTTGGTTTAGAAATCCTACCTCCTCCTGGTCCTGTTTTGGCTCTGGCTTTACATTCTGTCCTTGGCCTTATCTTTACAAAACAACTCTCTGAGGGAATCTGTGACCCAAACCAGTTTGCAGCAGGGCTCTGTAACAGCATTAGCACTCCTAAATACATGTAGCCTCGTTTGCTAGGCATTGCTTGTTTCCCCTGAATTCCTTCTGTCAGCCATTTCCTGGAGAATGGGATGGGGTGCTTGCGGGGCAGCTGACTCGGATTTCTGGTTGCTGTGGTGGAATTTTCCAGGGTGCAGCCCAGCTCCCTGAGCGTTACCTTTTAATGACTGTGCATGTAGTGTTTTCCCTTTAAGAACGGTGTAGTAATTTCACGTACACATAACTACTCATTCCTCTCCCTAACCTTCTCACCATTCTTACCTTAGTTGGTACATTCCTGTCTCTTCCCCTCAGTGCTCCCCTTCAGCTCCTTCTAGTTCAGATCTTTTGCAAACTTTAGGTTATGGCTTATCTTACCTTGTATTTTGGAACAGGCTGCCCAGAGAAGCTGTGGCTGCGCCATCCGTGGCAGTGTTCAAGGCTGGGTTGGACAGGGCCTCAAGCAACCTAGTCTAGTGGAACCCGTGACCCATCCTGACCCGTGACAGGGGTTTGCAACTAGATAAGCTTTAAGGTCACTTCCAACACAAACCATTCTGTGATTCTATGATTTTAGGCCCTTATGGATATGTTGGATGAAATCTAGTACCAGCTGCTAATTTGGTTGTGTGTGTCATCATTCTCTTTATCAGGCAAGGGTTAGTCCCTGAAATTGCTTCTTGGTCTATCATTTAATCTTGATTTTAAGTTTTTTGTGTGTGTGTGTGAAATAAATATGGAGGAAAGAAAGAAATGCATGTGGTGTTAAAAGCACGATTCTGTTGCTGCTGCTGGTGGTTGCTGGTGCTCCCTGGGCATGATAAGATAAGCCATAAGCCATCTCAAAGCAGCCTTCATGTTATTTAAATCAATAAGACACTCAAAAAAGGGTTTGTTGGGGGTTTTTTAACCATTAGTTTTATAGCTGCCCTTGAAGCTGGGGTTTTGTTCTTTTATTTTGTTTTCACACACACAGCCCTTTCATGCCCAGAAGTGCTATTTTTAGGTCTAATTGACTGTGCATGTAATGCATGGCAGCTTCACTCATCTCTTCTCCTCTCTGCGCATGCTGGTGATAAACTCTTCCCCTTCCCCGTTCACTTAAATCTTTTTCCCTTTGTGTTGTGAGATGCTTTTATATCTCTGTAAACGTCCCTGTCTGAGTAGGTGATACTGGTGGAGGTAAATCTATATGATTAGTAACAGTTTTCCCTTGCGGACTAGGCTGGAGAGAGATGCTGAGTTCTGTAACATGTATTGACTGGACAATCTCTTTTGAGTGTTTTTCAAACAGGATGCTGGATCTCCTAGAAGCTCTGTTGTGTATGGAAGCATTATTTCCTATATAGAAGGCTTTTTTAATGCCCTTGGGATGTCCTTTGGAGAAAGACAGGTATGAAACATCTTTTCTGTGTGTACTAGTATATGGTAGCAGCACCAGCGTTATGTTTTATAGAATGCTTTCTGAAAGCATCAGGTATAACAAAGTTATTTATGGTTTTAGTAAACCTGTCTGCACCGCTTGCAGTTTGTATGTGATGTCTGAGGAGAGCATGTGAGCAGATGCAACAAAGTGTGGGCTTTTTTCATCTCGGAGGTACTCCTGTGTGACTTGTGCAGGAGTTTTGCTGTGGAAATGAAAGTCAGGAATGAAATGAGAAGTTAGCTTTGGAGGCCTTTGAGTTGGTCCTGTTACATGCCTGGCTTTCCACTGGCTCTTCCTCTTCTTTGTGATGGTTGCACCCAGTCTGACCTTATAGCCATATTTATGTATTTATGGTTGTGACCTCCCTGCACAGCAGGAGCCAGGGTCCAGCTCCTGCGGAAAGCCATGGTGCAGGGAGGGGAGGGCAGCACAGAGGGCCCATAATTGGAAAAACCTTGCATATCCTCTAGTGTTTGAAAAGGTAGGAATGTGGAGGAAAAAAAGGGGGAGAGAAAAGCTCAAAGCAAAGTACTGCACAGGGAAGAGAGTTATAAATATGGAGGTGATGCCCTGAAGTATGGAAAGGGAGCACTTAAAATGACACAAGGTGTTAGAGACAAGCAGACTGTTCTGTGCTCCTTTTCCTCTTGGGTCTGGAGCTGAATACTAAGAAGTTGGAAAATTTCCTTAGAGAAACTTCTGCAAAGATTTCTTCTGGAGAGGGGGAGAAGAGGATAAGAAAACACAATTAATGTTATTCACACTTTGAAAGTAGGCAATAAATGTATTTACTTACTTTGCCTCTTTATGGGTTTTCCCACAAAATTTCTTTTGTAACAATGGTTGGATGTGATTTGGCTGTGTGTAACTCCTCATAACCCGTGGTTTGTCATGCTAATTCTCAGTGGTGTACTAAACAGATGTAAGTTGGATGGCGAATTAGCCATCCAGTTGGATTCCTCTGGACTGTCTGTATGAAGGTGCCTCCTGCACCTCTGTTTTTGCCGAAATAAGTGTCAGAATGCTTTTCTTTTTGCATGCTGTGCTGGTTTCTCTGGAGCAGCAAGGTCACCAGAAGGCGTTGGAGAGAGATAGGAAGGAAGGCTCTTGTCAGACTCTTCAGTCCCTTGGTGGTTCTAGCAAATGAATCAATCAAAGTCTTCATCAGAAGGGTCTGTGGGATGCCACAAGCTAGTAAATAAAATGGTGAAGGGATTGTTCTCTGACGCTGAGACTACCTACAGCAGCTCAGCATCCAGCCTGTCTTGGCTTTTAGTTGGGTGGCCCCAGGCATGCAGCTTGTGAGTGCAGTCCCTGATCCCTGTGGGTCCTGGTCTGTGGGGTGCCTTGCAGAGCTTGCCTGTGTAAAAGCTTAATGCAGAGAGTTGTATTTGGGCCCCCTTCATTTAGTTGTTTGCATATAGCCTGTGGGGTCTGTGTTGCTCCCAGGATGGGATTCATGTCTGCTAATGAGCCTTGCATCTAATGTAGCTGTCCGTGCTTCTGCAATAGTCGGTGGAGAGAGAGGCACTGCTAAGGAATGATTCATCTTAACCTGGTGGCTGTATAAAATAAGGCTGCCTGTCTCTTTGCATCGGCAAGAGAAGAAGCCTGGACAACCACAGGCAGGTAGGATGTATCTGTCTGAAAAGATGAGGGGTGGAAACTGTCGTGTCTGTTTTAGAGCGGGGGAGCAAAGGTGAGGGGTTTGGCTCTGCTGAGGAGTGCTGTATTCTGGATGCAGCTGGGGGCAAACAGGTGGGGTAGGCAAGGACCCAATTTCCATATAAAAATTCTTAGGAGCTCTTTGGAGTGGTCGGCTCTGCAGGAGGAGAAATTGCCTATCAGCCCTGAGAGGCTACACTGTGTTTTATGTGGAAATCGGATCAGTTCATGTCCTAGAGCTCCCATCATTTTAGAGGATCTTGCCTTGTCTTAAGAGTAGGTGCCTGGTTGGAACTTTGGCAGTGGTGTTTGTAGAGGTGCATTTTTTGTTTCCCTTTCATTTGTCTTTCGTCTCTCTTCTGTATTTAAGCATTTATCCTGCTCTTTTTCCTGCCCCAGGTTCCAGTGGAGCATTTCTGGCACTTAAATTAATTACCTTCTTCAATCTCAAACTTCTGTAGTACGTTTACATGTTCTGAAAGTTTGGGGAATTTTCTGCCTCTTACAATTGCGGAGAGCACTGAGCATCTCTTCCCCTCACCACCTCCTCCTCCTCTTTGTTTGCTTCAGTCAGTGACCTCTGAAACTACTCCCTTTCATTTCCATCCTGCTGTTCAGTGACTAAATACAGTCCCCTCTAGCTTTAATTACTCAGCTGCTCTTATGGTCCCAGTCGAGCGTTGCTGCCAGCAGCTTTGCCCCCGGCCTTGGTGTGCTTTACATTTCACTGCTTCATTGTCTGCTCCCCCTCTTGTGCCTTGGTGATAAAATGCTGCGACAGCATTTTCTTGTTTGGTGGAGGTTTGTCCTGTTCCTCCCACATAGGAGTTTGCCTGTAATGAGGAGCAGGGATGGTGTCTGTTAGAGTGGGAGCCGGGCTGTGTCAGTGCCAGAGCTGTCCTCTCTGGCTAGCACCTGAGCCCTTGGCCTGGCAGCCATTGGAGTGGGATCCTCAAGGAGAAGCAGGGCCATTCCCTTCCCATGGCGTTGACCAGCAGGACTCTGTCAAGGCAGAGGAGGCTGAGCAATACTTGGAGCTGGCTGAGGGATGGAGAAGGCCAGGCAGTAGCCAGAAAACATTCACTGTGTGCTGTGGCTGCTGCTTGGTCAGGTCTTTTTGGGATAGCTGGAACTTTGGATAAGGTGGATCAGGTAAGCTCTGTGGATTTGGGGAGGTTTCCTATGGATGCAAGGAGAAAGGATAGTCTAGAGACTTAAAGCCAAAGTACTTTTCCTGGTTTGCGTTTCCTGAAGAAGGTCTGGAGCTCAAAGGCAGAGGAAGGGGCTGCTGTGCTCTCCAGTTCTGTAGACGTAGCTCAGCTGAGGGGCCAGCAGAGCTGGTGGCTGGGCTTCCCTCTGTGTCATTTGGTTGTTATCAGCCTTTTTCCCATTAAGTTGTCTAATTCCTTTTTAATTTATGCATGCTTTGGGCATCTCAGAGGTTTCCTGTGGCAATGAATTCCACAGTTGGGTTATGAAGCATGTTACATTCACATGAGAGCTCCAAAATAGACACTTTCCTGTGTAGGAATATGTTGAACTACTTCCACTCTTAACTTTTTTGTCTAGCATTAATGAGATTGTTACATTTTAAACATACCAGTGCGCGGAAGATGCACAACCAGAAGAGGTGATGAGGCCTCAGCGTATGCTACTAAGTTGGGGTTGACTTTTAAATCACAGAATCATACAGGTTTGGGATGGAAGGGACCTTAAAGACCATCTAGTTCTAACCCCGTACCACGGGCAGACACCTTCCACTAGATCCAGCTGCTCAGCACCCCATCCAACCTGGCCTTGAACATGGCCGGGGATGGGGCAGCCACAGCTCCTCTGGGCAACCTGTGCCAGTGACTCACTACTCTCATGGGAAAGAACTTCTTCCAAATACCTAATCTAAGTCCATTCTCTTTCAGTTTAAAGCCTTTAAATGATTCTCAGATGTTCTAAATCAACCTGTTCGGTTTCTAGGTGGCTCTGAGAGGGGACAGCTCTGCTGTGCTCTCCAATGTCATTGACGAGCTCGTACAGTTCCGCACAAAGGTCCGTCATTATGCACTTGCTCTACCAGAGGCAGCAGGGACTGCACCAGTGGAGGGTGATGCAGGAGCCAAAGGATCAAAACCAGAAGAGAAGCAGAAGAGGCAGCAGCTAATGCAGGAGAGAAGACCCCTGTTGGAGGCCTGCGACAGTCTGCGTAAAGACCTTGCTGCCTTTGGAATCCACATAAAGGTACAAGTAACCCTCTGCCTGAGGCCATTACTCACTTTTTAAGGCAACATTTGGTTTTGCCCCTTGTGCCCCTCCAGTAGCTTTCGGTGTTGTACCGTGCTCGCTGTGCGACTGCAGCAGCAGGTGGTAGAAGTTAAGCCCTTGCCTGGTTGCACTGCTAGTCTTTTGCTCCCCTTCAGCCTCATGTCTCAATGCAACCTGTACCTACTTCTGCACTTACTATTACTTCTACAGTTACTAAAGTGTGCTGTTTAGCCACTGAGAATCCCATAATGCTCAGAAATCCCTGTTTCCCAAGTTCAAGCCAGAAGGAAAAGTATGAGTAGTGTGTGTAATTTTTGAAATGATTGCAGAGGACCTGGAAAGTAAACTCAGATGACTTATGAAAATAGTGCCGGTCCTCCTCCCTCCATGCATTCAAGCCTTATGAGAAAGTGTCTGTTTTCAGCATCTCTATTCCCACCTGTTCCTGTGCCATAAGTACTTTGCCAGATTGCTCTGCCATTCCTCTCTCCAGCCTGCTTCCTACTTTGGCCTATAAAGAATATCACTGTTCTTTTCTGTTACCCCAATGGTGGTTCCTAGTCAGGAGAAATCCGTTCACTGGGTTATTGTCTCCTCCTGGTTTCAGTGTGCTCTATTGCTGCTTTAACAGGTGCTGCTTCTGTCAGTTCCTCTTGCTTCACTGCCCTCCTCCCCTCTGCTCCAGGCCTCGTTGGGTCAGTGTTGCTCATTATGTACAGAGTAATCTCTCACTCTCTCCAGCATCTTCCTCCCTCCCTCCAAGCTGCTGCTTCTTCTCTCACATGGTTTTACCATTGGGAGGATGTAAAGCACGGTGACATTAGGGAGTGACGGCATTCATCCTCTTTAACTGCTGAATGTGAGAGCTGTCATTTGTTAGCACACCTATTAAATCCAAACATGAAGTGTGGTCAGATGCCTCATGATCTCAGATGAAAGTGAGTGTGCTGAAACAAACTGGGGTGAGGGGCCAGGTGCAGCAGTGGAGAGCTACAGCTGTGAAAGCAAAGGAAGACTGTGGGAAGCTGGAACATCTGTTCCCTTGTTTGTACGTAGCTAAATCCTTGCTCCACTTACCTGTCAAGAAAGTTTGCAAATCCAAACTGCACTGAGACAGTGTCTTGGAGGTTATCCCCTTTTGATATGTTTGGCAAAACAGCTGCAGCCCCACCTCCACCCTTCTGCAGATTTGTTTTTAAAGGGATTTACAGATGTTTAATAACCTCCTGGAAATTGCCCTTAGTCAGGATTCAGCCTATTCCAGTTATTTCAATTGTCTTTTTTAATAACCTGGAGCTTGGCATAATCTATCTCCTGCGTGTCCCAGAAGCTTCCTTGTGAAGACAAAACACACGTATGAGCACATACAGCACATGCCCAAACTCTGCTCCTGCTTTGTTTGCTGATCCTATAGAAGATGTGCTGTGAAGGCTGCCCAGATCTTGCCTTTGCAAATGCCAGAGGAGTCCTGCGATGTGACATGACACAGTCCTGCCCAAGGCAGGGCCCTTGTCACCCTCATGCTTGGCACAAGCCTGCCTGGCTGGGTGGGTTGGCTGCTGCTGAAAATGCTGTGGTAGTGCAGTGCTGAGCAGCTGGGTCCTGCTTGTTTTCTAGGTGCTTGAGGAAGTAATCTGAATTTCTCTTGTCTACCCAGCCTCTGATCTCCATGAAACTTTTATGAACCCCACAATGAGCACATGATACACATCTGTCCTGTGCAGCTGAGGTCAGTCCATGTGCAGGAGGAAGAGCTGCAGAGCAGGTGAAGCAGACAGGCCTCATCTCTGCCCAGTGCAGACTATGAACCCCTGGTCTGGGGCTGGGCAGGGAGAGGTTGGCTGATGTAGGGTGTGAGTGGCAGCTCAGAGAATGCTAGGTAACTTAATTCCTTTAAAAATCAGGTTTGTAGCAAGGGCAGTTTCTCCTTCAGTAGGTAAGCTTGTGATTTCTGTACACTGGTTTCTCCTCTCATGCTGCTCAATGCAGATGACTTTCTGTTTGTCTGAAGCTAGAGAACTTGCAACAAAGAGATTAAAATATCCACCAGTCTTCTCACATTGCAGTAGTGTCCTTGAAATGCGAGCTGGTCTGTGCTACCAAGTGAGGTGTAATGTTGAGCATTTTTGTATCAAAACCGGTTTTCACTTTAATCTGAAGAAAATCCTACATTGTATTCCAGCCTCTCTCATGAGTCAGAGCTCATGTAACATTGTACATTAACTTTTATTGTGAAGAATTGCCGTTGAACTTCTAGATCTTGAGTCGGAAATACTCAGTTTGACTGTATTGCAGTCAACACAACAGTACTGCATTTGATACTTACAGCAACAGGCTGTTGTCCTGAAATTCAGAAGTTACTCAGTACCTTCTCATGTATTGACAAAGAAGAGCTGTTTCCCATGTATATGAGCCATTTAAACATGACAATGTGATTGCCTGGGTTTAACAGAGGTTATTCATAGGATACAGACTACACACTACTGCAGCATTCCATACAAAAGAGGTGATGTTTGTATTGTGGGTTTTTTCCTTAACTGGGGAGAACTGTCTGGCTTTGTTTGACAGCTTTGCGTGTTATTAGTAACAGCTGCATTCCTGTGAGATGGTATCTCCACCTCCATTACCTAACGGGATGAATAGCTGTGCTGCATGGAGCTTTGTTAAAAGCCTCTGCCTCCAGCTACCTGAAGGTGTGATACCTGTGTGATCCAGACTGCTGCGACTGACCTGCTCATTTCTTTTTACAGGACAGAGCTGCTATTTCAACGTGGGAAATGGTGGAAGGAGGAGGGCAAGCAGAGCAACAGGCTCAAGAAAAAAGCTGATTCTTTGTTCTTGGACCTGTGGGGTTTTCTTATTTCCACTGCTTTGGCAACAGTTGTAAATATTAGTATTTCTAAATAAAACCTTCAGACCAGAATGGATAGAATGGAAAGATACAATCTGAGCAAAGCTGTTGACACTAGTAGCAGGTAAATAGAGGACTTGCAACCGGTATGTGGAAGCGTTCAAACCACAGGGCAGCCCAGGAGCCTGCTGGGTTGCCTGACACTGGCCTCAGCATATTCAAATGCAGGCAGTGCCCCAGCCCTGCTTGCTGTGTGGTCTGCCCTCACCCCCTGTTCTGCTCAGCTGGCACTGGGAATTAAAACACAGTGAAGACAGAGGTGAGAACTTAAGTGTTTTCATCCTCAAAACAGGCTTCAGTTCAATGTTTTAAACATGTGCTTTCCTCTCAGATGGAAGGAGGTGACACTTTTAGCCTTCAGGTATTTCCTTACTCCTGTGTTGCTGTTTCAGTCCTGTGAAATCTTTAACTGCACTATGATTGTATCCAGTTACCTGTAAGGCCTGGTACCTTTTTAATTTGTTTCTGCAGAGAATACATCAAGATTTTCCTAGCACTGGGAATGGAGCATGCTCAGGGTCTCTCCATTCACAACTGGGAAGATAGCATTAGTGTGTTTATTATCACCTGTTCAGTTACCTTTCCCCCCTCTTTTGCAATGTTTGTGTTAAAAAGAGAGGCCTGTCTTACACATGAGGTGACCTGAGTGTACATGGGGCTTGTACTTACCTGCTGGTTTATTCCACTACAAGGAATTTCATTTGGAAATACAGTTCACACAAGTGATCTGTTCAAAAGGATAAAGGCTTTCTTTTATATTATTTAGACCAAAAGGGTAGCTGGTTTTCTGCTCCCTTTCTGGCTGTAGCTGCTCCTACAGAAAACAGGGGTGTCTTCATCAGCACTTTGACAGATGCTTATGTGATTCTGTTGGTACTTTACATGTGCTAGTGGTGGTATCCCTCTAGCAGACTTGAATGAATGGTGAACAGCTCTGCTGCTGTGGGAACACACCAAACAAGGTACACACAGTCACTTTGCTATTATGTTTATTTCCTACCAGAAGAAACTGCTACATTGCCAGAATGTTTAAAAATCGTAACAATACGTATACAGTAGTGAAGAACAGAGTTACAGCTTCTGCCTAGATTTAAAACCAACATGGCAGGTTGAAACCTGTACTGAGGTCTGGTAATTGACTGACTTCGCCTTACAAATGCCATTTAAATGATAATACCACTGATGTTCTAAACACAAAACCAAAAATATGTTCACTTTAGAAGAAATCCAGTAGCTGTTTTAAAATCAGTTTTAACTCTGATTTTATTGAAAGGAGTCAGGCTTCTCAGTTTTAGGGGAAAAAAACAATAGTAGCTTTATTTCCCCAGAGATGTAGACAGTTTACAAAACTGCCTAAATTAAACACCAAAACCCATCATCTTTTATGAGTAAATGTTGCTCTAATCTTAAAAAGTCTGTGAACCCTCATAGACTCAAAGTGAGCAAACATTTAAAAAACTATTTTAAAAATAGGTAACTGCTTTTAAAAGAAAAACAAAAATGCATTGGGGTGAGGTAGTAGTCACAGTGCATCCAGAAATATCAGCTATAAGGGCTGAGGGCAGATATTTGGAGCAGCTTTTCTGGTTCCAGGTGCTTTCTCTGGGCAGCTATTGTAAGGAACAAGAAAGCTCTTTGACTAGTAACATGGCACCATATGCCGTCCTAGACCTAGAGCACTGAGAAAGAGTGGCTCCAGTGAATAGAGAACATCTACTGCAGTAGCTAAGATGCATATGCTTGTTCCTGCACTTTAAGAGGTATATACACCTGGAGCTAGACTATGGGTTTAACGGCAGTACACACTTAAACATACTACACATGACCTTGTTCCTCTCTCCATATTGGTTCTATCCCTGCAAGCTTTTACTGTATTTCCAAATGTTTAAGAAATGATACTTTGCAAAGTTGCATGCAGGTTCCACTTTACACCCAACACTCCTCTGCCCTGCCAGTGAGGTATGGCCTTAACTATTAAAGATGCTGTCTGTCTTGCTAAGGATTGAGCAAAAAGCCCCTACAACCAGGCACTGCACTCAGGCTTAACCACCAACCACCCTTTTCCTACACCAGCCTTTGCCTCGCAGGGTATGGCTGCCTGCACACCCCTAGAAGGCACAGGTACACGCTGTTGGCTGCCCTTTGTGTCTGCAGTTCATACTCCTGCTGGTTAGCGGATACCCACCTGTAAACCTACGTGCTGGTCCTCTCAGAGCTCTAACTCAGCAGGCCATTTGAGTTCTAAAAACACTTCACTTCTATGTGACTGCTGAGAGGCTGACCAGTTCAGGTGGGGATCACTGAGTTTCTTATCCTGCCTAGCACCTCTCCAAATGGTAATTCCACAAAAGTTCATCATACCAAATTCTAGATGAGTCAAGGCCAACTAAAGGAATAGAAAACATTTTTTTCAGGTAACAAAGTTACTGTTCAACACTAAGATACCTACAGTACAGCCTTGTTCTGAGATGGGGCAGCCTTTTAAAGAACAAACACCCATCCACCCCAGGACATTGTAGGAAGTGGGTGTCCTGTTGAAAATAAGCGTTGCCTCTGGGACCGGGAATGGGAAAAGGCAACTAATTACATTCAAAATCTACAGCAACTCTCATGCATTCCCTTTCCAAAGAGGCTTACTTTTTGCTGCTTAATATACTAGCTTGGCAAAAATGAAGGGCAGTACCTAATTCTAGACAGAGGGTCTAAGAATGAAAACATGACAAGCTTGGTGCAATCCAAGAGCTTCAGCTGAGCTGGTGGAAGAATTTTATCTAAGTACCAAGTGCATTTATTTTTTCCTGTTCACACTTTAGTTATTGCTCAATAACTATCAAAAAGAACAGAGGAATAATTTCAGTTTAGTTTTATTATATTATAACAGATCTGCAACTACAGCTTATTCCAGCCAAAACGTTTTTGTATCCCAAACTCTTAAAAAATATCTACATTGATCATATTTTCTATTCTGAAAAATAAAAAAAATCTACCTAGCATTCCAATGCTGCTACAGCACTTGAAAGGGTGCATTACTTACAGGAATTCTACGGTAAATGTAATTACTCTTGCAGCCGTTGCTCGTCCTCTCATTCTCTGCCGCTTTGGCTTCAGGTCTCAAAAAGTTTGTTAAAAGCTGTTCCAACTTCTGAAACCATGTCAGAGGCAGTCATTGAACGTCCAAACTTTTGAAAGGCCTGGTGGTTAGCCTGCCTCGTAAGAGAGCACGCTCCAAACGCAGCCACTAGGAAGGGATTTTGACTATAAGGGAAAAACAAGCAAACATCAGAAACAACCTGAACACTCCTGTGTAATCCATAAAGTGGTAGACCTAATCTTTGCACCCATAAATGTTTGTCAGCACTGCTGGGAAGGCCTCTTCAGCAAACACCTGTGTTTCTCAGAATCCTGCACTTAATAACACCTTTGCCTGATTTTAACATATACTTCCCTTTCCATGGCAAAGAATGTGACTGAGTGAGAAACTGCCATGGCCAAATGATGCAAAAGGAAAACAAAAGAGGGTGAGAAAATGTTCATGTCTAGTTTTACCCATGTGAAACGTCATCCTTCAGAGGAAGAGTGAAGTCTCACCTGGCAATGTTTTAACTCCTTTTCCTCCCGTCGCTGGGTTACTCAGTCTGGTTTAGATTGCAGGGGTGGAGGAAAGACACGCGGATGTGGACGAGAGATTTGTTTTAACAGGGCCTTAGTCACTGCTCCAGGGCCTTCACTAAATCAGCTTGAAAGTGGTACAGTGACAGCTGTAGACTACAACAGAGATTAAGGCACTCTCTTAATGCCTCCTACATGGTTACAAACTCTGTAAGAGAGTGTACCCAGCCCCAGTCTTCCAGTGCTGAACCCTCCCCTGAGAAGGCAGCACAGCCCTGCCACCTTCAGAGCACCTTCTCACAGGCTGGGCCACAGGAGCTGCACCTGCTGCCTTCAGCACCAGTGCAGAATCATCCAGCAGCTGGCCCTGGGCTCCAGCTGCTGCCTGGTGAAAAACCTTCCAAAGCTCAGCCATGGCTGGGACACAGCTGCCTCCCAGTACGAGTGTTGTGAAGGATTACCACATAAACACAGGCAAAACAGAACATGAGTTTACAGTTTGGTGTTACCAGGGTAGCTTTGAGCATCTTTTCCTTGAAACCAGCAACTCCATGCACTCATCAAGGTGCAGGAGTATTTAAGCCACCCTGAGAGTCAACCCTGGGTGCCCAAACACTGCTCTGAAACAAGAGCTGTACACAGGCTTCTGGGCTCAACACAGTTAAAGCAGCTGTTTCTAAGCTGCTGCATAACCAGTCTGAAAGACGTCACCCAAAAGACATCACCTTAACATCCCCTTAAAAGGACAATCCTACCTACTATCCCACTAGCACTCCTGAAAGCCAGTGCAGTGTTAACGTTTCAAAATCATGCTCTACCCAGACGCGATTTGAAACAACAGAGACAGGCACAAGCACGGAAGGACTGGCTGTGCTGCCTGCAGTGCAGGCTGAAAGATGATGCCCTGATTCACTGAGCCCCAAAAGCTCCTCCTTTTCCTGAAACACATGAGAGAAACAGGACTAGTACAGCAGGTGTTTGAGAAGGGTCACCTTAACACCACCACAGGAGACACAATGTGCTGCTGATGCCAATTACACTCTGACTGTTCCTTCATCTATAAAATAAAAGAGTTTCCGAGTGAGCTGCCTGGAAAAGCCACAGGAGCCCAAGTTAGAAAGCCTGGAGAACACGTGCTGCGTTTGCTAATCTCTCCAACAATTTAATACTGATCTGTTGTGCACCATGCAAAAATGAAGTCATCCTTTTAATGAAGTGAAACAGAATTCCTCCTCCAGTGGCAGCTGCAGTTGCAGATACACAGATAATCTTGGTTTCATTTTTCATCCTGTTAGATTTCAGAATTTTGAAGTCTGGTCCCTCGTTCCTCCTGGGGGACCTGATGTAGGGCTCTCAAGTCACACAAGGAACCAGCTAGTTACCTCCCATGCACATCCAACCGTGTGCATCTGCATGTAGCATCCAAAAGACTACAAAAGTTCTCTGCTCCTCAAGCTTCAGTAACTCATTATTTATTGGGAAGAGGGACCGTCATTGCCTAACTGCTTGTGTCAGGGCTCCTTTGGACTTTATTTAAAGCAGCTACTCTCACAGAAAGACTACATGACTATATGGACCAACCAGTCAGACAGGAACTGAAATAATTTAACCAAGAAGAGACAGCAGCCACCTGCATGACTACTTTATGTATGCTCAAACTGGACTGCTATCTGGTCTTTAAATGGTTACTCTCTTTGAAATTGTATTTTATTTGCAAGCTCTGACTTACCTGCCCCTCTGAATTACTTATACAATGCAAGAGTACCTAAGTACCAAGTTACAAAACACAAAGCTAAACGACGCATTTTCTGAATTACAGATGTTACTGCCAGTGACTACCACATATTTATTCTTCATACCTGCCCCCTGCATTCAGTTGTTCTGAAAACACAAACCCCTTACACATACGGCCTTGGGACTCGATCCAAGTTTGCAT